AAATGAGTTAATATCTAATGTAAGTTGTATTTCTACTTTCTCGTTGCGTGGTTTCTCTGAACTCATGAAAGGTGGTTTTTGTTTCCTTTTTGGTTTTTTTTTTTTTACATACATTTGTCACTTTCAATTTTAGCTTTTTAAATTTTGAAGCTATGTTATTAGATCATACAAGTTCATAAGTCTTATAATTTGTTGGTATTTTTATATTGTCTCAACTTATCTTTAATAGTGATTTTCCCTTCAATATAGATTGTCTATTATTAATATACCAGCTTTCTTGTGGTTAATATATGCCTAGTGTTTCTTCATGTTGTATTTTGTTATATTTAAGTATATACTTAACTACATATAGCTAACTTTTTTAATTTAAGCTTAAACACTGGTGTTTTTTTAACAGAGGTTCATCCTATGATATTTTATTATAGTTACTGATATATTTGTATTTATTTCTGCCATCTTATCAGGGATTTTATTTTACCAAATTTTTCATTTTTCTTTGCCCTTTTCTCCTATCTTCCATTGGATTGAGTTTTAACATATCTTTTCATATGGCTTGAAAGAAATACATTCTATTTGTATTATTTAATGATTAACCTAAAATACATAACATTCTTGACTTTATATTTTTAATAGTTTACTGCTTTTTAACCAATAGATGCTTCTAGTGTAGTTCAAAGGAAGCCAGAGTATAGAAACAATCTATTTAATGTGTTCCAAAGTAAAAGATACTACCCTTTTAAAATATTTTAATCAGGAAAAAATGTGTAATTGGTCCTATTTTTTTATTGAATGTGTTAGATTAATAGAACAATGATTCCAAATATAAATCAATCATAAATTAGTTTTTGAAGGTTCACCTTTATGTTAATTCCCACAAACCAGTGATTGTCAACTAATGGAGGTACACACACAAGGCCTAGCCTTAGGAGTAGTATATTATGAGGACATTAATAAAATTTTCACCATACCGAACATTAAGCTGGCATTGTCCACTTCCACAATTATTCCTAGAACTGTCCCTCCATTTTACTCAGTGACTCTTCCAGGCCTTCTGCAGACATTTCATCCCCAAATCCTTAATGACTTGAAGGCAGGTCCCATTATCTCCTTGGAGCTATAATTTTAATCTTGCAGATGGCACACTTTGTTTCCTGAAATGTCCTGACATCTCCTCTTGTTCTTAAAGTGAGGCGGTATCGTGGACTTTAAAATCCATGGTGAGTTCAAATGTGTCATAACCTAAATGGGGGTTAAATTCAGCTCATAGCCAAGGATGGAACTATACTGTAGCCTTGCCTTGCTTCGGTGAAGATTCAAGTACAGCTGAACCTCCCAGGATAGCTATTCATGGAGACACAGTAGAGCATATATTATTTCTAATTGTTAAGGCACTGTAATATCTTCTTGGGGGTCAGTTTTTCCCATTTCCCTTTCCTCATCATAAAAATATAAGCAGAAACTGATTGATATGATATAATCTTAAGCAGGGTATTTTAAATGTGGTCAAAGATTTTCATCAGATGGTTTCCTTAATTCAGAGGATCTATACTGGGTAATCCACAACTACCTAAACACAAAGGAAGAGCCAATTTCACCTCCAAATGGGTTAGTGCTATATTGAGGAAAACATCTTAGGCTTAGGCTTCTTTTGTCCTTTGTCTCAGAAAGAGTAAGACACTCTTAAAAGTTAAAATCCCTACTAGTTAACCCTAATTAACTTGTTACTGGTCTGGCCCTTCAAGCAATATTAACCTCCAAATTTCGTGTTACTATTGGTAAATGTTAACCGATCCTATCCCAAGGTTTCTGTAAAGGGGCAGGGCTAGCTGTGTTATGATGAAATGACCTATTTGGTGCTATCTTAGTTTTGCAAGGGACTCAAAGGCTTTCTTCTAGAAGTGATCCCCCTAACCTGTGCCCTAGCTTCCCCCTAGCTCTCTGAACTAGTAAACATTCACTGCAAAAATAGACACATGGCTGTACGTCCACACCCTTTTAGGTCCACTAGTATTATTCACTCTGGAAAAAGGGCAAGGGCCCGCCAAGGTTTACAGCACCCCAGACCTCACTAACAACAGTTGTTCTATATCTAGTAGAACTGTGGAGACATTGCCTCGGGGAGACAATTATAGATTATCATAAGCAGCTTTATGGATCAAATCGTAGTCAAGAAGCATGGCCTCCCTTGTAATTCAAGGTTATACTAATGTGGGCCAACGCTGCAACTACATTCACTAGGAGTTGGGCAGAGTTCCAGGAAACCATCCCTACCGTAATGCCCAAGGAGGAATCTGTTGAATGCTTGGTACTGTCACATGCTGCCCAAGTTACCTTCTAAGTCCTTGTAGTTGGAACTCCACAATCTGATCAACTACTGGCTTTATTTCAGTTTAGAACTTCCCACATCTAAATAGCTATGTCCCAATCACAGGTACAACTTGCAAAACAAAAAGGACATCAGAGCCCATGTTTCAGCCTAGGCATTCTTGAGTACTTGAGCATCAACTTAATAGTCAATTTATCAGGCTCTTCTCGGCCCCTACAGTCACACAGATCCTTAATAAAAGTGATGCGGCCCCAGGTGGTGTAGCCCAGGTGGTTGGAGCCTCGTCCCGTAAACCAAAAGGTTGGGTGTTAGTGTCCCAGTCAGGGCACATGCCTAAGTTGCAGGTTCAGTCCCAGGTCAGGGTGTGTATGAGAGACAACCAATCAATGTATCTCTCTCTCCCTTTAAAATCAATAAGCATGTCTACAGTTGAAGATTTTTAAAAAGAGAGGGAGAGAAAGGAAAATGATAAAGCCTACTTCCAGAATAACCGAGATTTCTGTGAAATCAGAGATTATATCTATTCCTTGTTCCTACCTATTCTTGACCTCCATATAGCCACAGGTGTTCTGACTTCAGAGATGCCTAATCTATGAGTTCACTCGTGGAATAGCCCTCTAATGTAGAATAGTCCAATTAACATAAGAGGTCTGTCCCAGAAGGTATCCAGCCATGCACTATGAAAAAGAGACATTTGAAGATGATAACAAGATACAAGAAACACTGTAATAGGACAATGACGACTCAGTCCCCTTTAAAGTAGGCACGTTGGGACCTCACACAGTTCTCCCAATTGCTATCCCCTGCCCCATTGTGTTTTCCTGAATGTCATCCATGGTCTGAAATCTCTTCCTTTTCAAAAGTGATTTTAGTTTTGGGAAAAGCCAGAAGTCCCAGGGTACTAAATCTGGGCTGGAGTGGGGGCTGAGTCACCTGGGTGATCCGCTGTTTCACCAAAAAACTCTGCACGACGTGATGCATAAGCGGGTACACTGTCATAATAAATCTGCCAATCACCAGTTGCCCATAGCTACAGCCTTCTGAATCATCTGAATAGTTTCCACAGAGGAATGTTCAAGCTTAATGCAAAATTTGATGCAGACTCGTTGCTCCACTAGCTGTCATTTTGAATGTGACGGCCACACAGTACATATGCTCACTCAACGGTGTCTACCACCCACAATGACTACTATAACGAAACTGTCCATGCATGCACATTCCAGTCCACTCTCCTTGACTGCCAGGTTACATCGATATTGTGCAAACCATTCTCATTATATTAACAACGGCTGGACTTTTTCTGGACAGACCTCGTATACATTGCCCATGACTTCTTGCATGACTTCATAGATAAGACCGTAGTCTACTGAGTTGACAGCTTGTTATTACTATAATGTGACATCCTGCAAACACATGATCAGTGGTCTATCATAACCTCCTGCAACACTGCCTCCAAGAATAACCTAAAATGAAAATTTGAGTCTCAAGGGTAGTATTTGGGAGAAACCTTTCCGGTCAAGGAATCCAAAAATGCCAGATAAGGGATTAATATTTCTGGAGGAGGGAAATTCTTAGATGTCTACAAGTTTATCATCTTCTCTCAAAAGCAATTAGGATACCCTCTCTCGGAAGTGCATGCCCTCCAGTTTTAAGTTTTACTTATTCACCACTTGCCATTCTTAAAGTGCTAGATCAAACTGAATATGTCAAGTACCCAAAGGGTATTTGCTTTACATCCTACAGAAAATCAAACTGGTTCATTTTCCATATCACCACAGAATAGGTCAGATCCAACTTACCACACCTCCTCACTCAAAATATCTTGCCTTCTGTAATAATTATGCCCTCTCCTCTTTGAATCCCCTAATTGCTTGTGCCCTCCAGTACCACAAATATTCTGGTAGCCATTTAAATGTCTGCACAAATGCCAGACTGCACAAAAGGAACTCCATTAACACCCAGCAAGCCAAGGTTCAATGTGTTGACCAGCACTAGGCCATAGGAAAGTTCAGTCAAGTGGAAGACAGTCTCTCCATTCGTGATAGGAACTGTTAAGACTGCTTAAAGAGCACTTCAGAGGCAGAGGTTATCATTGCACTGGTTTTCCAAGTCTGTTTCCCTTCATCCATGTAAACACATCCTGTGTCTTTCACTACTCTGCTCTATCCAACCCTAGGAGATATTATACTCCATTCTAAACCCCAGTAACCTACCCTAATAATCCCAGCAGGTAACTGGAATATATCATACGGAAAGCCGAGGATTCCATTATAAAGTATAAGGAGTGTCTGAAGGAACATTTGTAGAAAGTCTTTCCACCTTTAGAATGCCTTCAAGCATTCTTTTTTTAAGCAGTGTTTCCAAGCAAACTGAAATCTCTCAACAGAAGCAGGAGCTAAATAGTAGCACACAGAATTTGGGAGAACTAGCTGTGTAAGAATTTACTTCATAGTGAGCCATCTCTGCTTGCTACCATGCTTAGAATGGATATTTCAAGGCAAGTTCTCACTTTAAACTTTGGCCTGTGCAATCAATCACCTGAGATATAATGTTGGCTTACTGTGTTGTAATCATTGCATAAACTGATACCTTAACATCTTCTCTGTGGTGTTCCCTTATGGAGCCTCGAAGAGATCCCTAAATCCAGTTTGAGATTCTTGGAGCATTGATCATTTTCTCCCTTCATATTCACCTTCAACAGATGCAACAGTACATATCTGAATAAGGTACTTACAAACTTATAAACTTTAATTTACATTAAAAGAGCAAGAGATAATCGGTAAAACCTCAAAAGTAAATGTATTAACATAGTAACTATTTTATAATTTCTATATTGTATTATAGATCCTGACTGACAAAAAGAAATCATGTTAAGATAAATTATGTACATGAATAACAAAATTAAAGAAAATACCACCGTTTTGAACAATTTAGATTTTTTAATCATACCTCTAAACCTACTGTTACTAAAGTTTAAAATTTTAACACACCAAAACCTTTATAATTTATCATAGGTAATTCAAACAAACTTGTTACATTTACTTATTAGCTTATTTAACATTAGAGTAAATGCCCTTTTGCAGTAGTCTGAAATAAACTAAGGATCCTGGTCTTTTTTTTTTTTTATTGCTTCCTGTAAAACAGCAGTGGTTGCACTTACTCCTCATTTTAAGAAAAGCAATAAAAGTTTTCTTTAAACTCTGCAAAATTAGAAAGCAGAAAACTTATTCTACAGATTCTGAAACCTCAATGTTAAGTAGTATGTGAGTCTAGAGCCATCTACTGGTAGAAGTGTAATGCTACAAAGCACAGCTTGTACCATTAATATTAACTAACAAAGTACAGGGAGTCATGGCTGTTAAGAACTGAAAATACAAACGTGGTCAAAAATCATCTAATCTAGGACACTGATTTTTAAAGATTTAATAAAAGAATCTCTTTTTAACGAGAGACCCAACATATATAAAAGTAGAGCTAAAAGTTGAGGTAAGGGGCTTCCATCCCCATTCTAATTTGCCCAGCAGAGGACAGGCCAATGGAAAACAAGCCATGAGAGGTAGTCTGGGCAAATAACCTAACTGTGGTTTGGAAGGAGGCACGATGAGGAATAGTGTCAGCAAAGTTGTCTCGTATCCACTTTTCCCCTAGAGACATCTTAAGAGACACAGGCATGCAATGGACAGTGGTTAGTGGGCACAGAGAACTGAAGAATCATAGGTACGCACCTGGAGGTTATAAATCTCTTTTCACAGGACACTGCTTATATGCTCATTTGATGCAACACTTTAGAAAACATTAACATAACTTTCCTGAAAATGCAAAATAAGAAAATGACAAATTTGCTTTTTCACCACAAGCCATAAACCATAAGAGTGAGTTTCTAGGTCCTATGGGCTTTCACCAACCAGGCCCTGGACTGGTCCAGGCGTGGAAACAAGAGCCCAGTTTCAGGTCCCAGCCTCCTCCCTTCAAAAGGGCAAGGATGACCGTAGAATCGAGGCAAGAAATAGAGCTCTCCAAGGCCTCTCTCTGTGGCAGAGACCCCCAACCTGGACAGCAGCTTGTCAGCAAGGCTTGGGGTTACAGGCTGGAGCAAAGTTCCAAAGACTCGCAAACATTCCAAGGCCACATGAAGAACAGTACCCAGCCAGGGAGCATCAGCTGGGCTCTCCCAGTTCAACTTCCATGGTGCATGCCTTTGGACAAAGCCATTAGTTTGCCGCACACAGCTAGACACTGCCTCCAGAGCCTTATAGATCTGAAAGTTAGCATAGTGGTCTGCTACCTGCCTCGGCAAAGTGGCCACTGCACTGACCAGAGCATAGTCCTCTGCCCGAGCACGAACTGATGGTCCCGCCAACCCTGGCTCACTAGGAAAGCAGGTAGTGCAGAAGACCGGATAGGTCCCTGAAGGATTTATTTTACTGGCAGTGCATCGGTTCAAGAGACCCCCCAAAGCATCTGCCAGCTCAGAGTCTAGCAACTTAATCACCTTTTCATCATAGTAATCACAGTCCCAGTTGGGGACACCCTGACGAAGGAGAAAGTAGCGGAAGCCATCCACAGTATAGCGGTCAAGGCAAGTTCTGGGATCCACCACGTTGCCCAAGCTCTTAGACATCTTTTGGCCACAGACTGTCCAGTGGGAGTGGACATAAATGCGGTGTGGTGGGCTCATGCCGGCCCCTAAGAGGAGGGCAGGCCAATAGATAGCATGGAATTTGAGAATGTCCTTGCCTATGATATGAGAGGTGGTCGGCCACCATGACTTGAACTCAGCATTTGGGTAGCCAATTACAGTAAGGTAGTTGACCAAGGCATCCAGCCATACATAGATGGTCTGCGAATCGTCCCCGGGCACCGGAATGCCCCAGTGCAAGTGGCTACTCCTGCGAGAGACTGACAGGTCTGGCAGCTCCTCCTCCAGCCACTGAAGGACTGTGTGATGGAATGGCTCGGGGGTGATCACCTGAGGGTTGTCCCGCAGCCACCGCTGGAGTGGCTCCCGGAAATGGGAAAGCCTGAAAATATAGTTTTCTTCCTTGGTCCAAGAGACGGGATGCCCGCTCTCGAGAGATACAGGACACGAATCCCCCGACGGGCCCGGCTGCTGGCTGACCTTGGTCTCAGGCAGGAAGCACTCGTCGTTGGCGCAATACCAACCCTCATAAAGCCCCTTGTAGAGCAGACCCCGAGCCTCCAGCTCTCCCCAGAAGTGCTGCACCGCCCTCCGATGCCGGGCCTCGGTGGTGCGGATGAAGTCGGTGGAGGAGATGCCAGCATCCTGGAAAAGCTGCTGGAACTGGCCCGAGACCCGGTCGCACAGCTCAGCCGGGGCCAGGCCCGCAGCGGTGGCTGCCTGCTGAATCTTCAGGCCGTGCTCGTCTGTACCGGTGGAGAACCGCGTGGCGGCGGCGGTGGGAACTCGGAGGCGACGGTGGCGGCACAGAGCGTCTGCCAGGAGCGCTGAGTACAGGTGTCCAATGTGAGGCGCCGCGTTCACATAGAAAATGGGTGTTGTGAAGTAGGCACGCGCATCGTGGGCATCGTCGCGGGCACCCAGAGGGTCCGAACTGTAGAGGCGCGGGCCAAAGTACTCCAGGAGCGAGAGCCTACTGGCCAGCGTGCGTCCTGGAAGCCGCAAAGCAGAAATCCGCAGCATGTTACCGACCCGGCCCAACCGGCGGAGGGGGCGTTCTGGAAGCACGTGTGAAGCGCGCAGGCGCAGCCAAGCCTCTCCGGCGCTTCCGGCCGGAAAGCCAATGGAGTCCGGGCCCGAGCGCGCGCCCGCCTGCCGCCGCCCGCCCCCGCCCTGCCCCGGCCCGGGCCCCGCCCTCCGCGGGTCTGGGACCTCGGACCTTGGCGGTGGTGATTTGCGGCCTCGCGTAAAAGGGTTATACCTTAGAGGAACTGGGCTTAGGGGAGGTTATGAAAAAGGGTAAATCTTTATCTTTCCGTAACATCCTGTATGACCGGTTTTGGATTGTAGTGTTATATTTATACATCTGTTTTCTTCTCTTAGCTAATCTGCTTGAGAGCAAGAGTTTAGCATTCGGACATTTCTCAAACCCTAGTCGGTAGCTGACACATAGCAGGACACAGTAGGCCCTCTACATAGGCCCTGGTCATCATAGGGCTCTGAAATATCTGAATTTTATCTCACAACCTAGTGGATACAGTGAGGAAGGGCCAGGGAGAAAAGGAAGAAAGAAAATAATTACCTAGAGCATTTGAGGGAAGGATAAGAACTGAAAAAGTATAAAAGTCTTTAAACACGCACAGTATTTGTAGAATCAAAAAAAGTATGTTTGTAATGTGCCAAGTCTTTGCCGAAGAGTATTTAGATCCAGGGAGGTGAAATGTAGTATGTTGTCAATGTGCACTCAAGGAAGAATCAGTCTTCCAATTTTTTTCGCAAAGTAGTTATTAGTAATTACTTTAAAAATGTTTTGAGAGTTCTTGTTAGAGCAGTTTTTTTTCGTTTGCTTTCATTAACGGAACTCGAGCTCTTTTGGAGGGGATGTGTCAGGAGCCCAGAATTGGATTAATATAGTAATCCTTGCTTGGGGGGGTCTGCTCTCATCTTGGATCTATGATGAGCCATCTATTTTTTTTTTTTAATTCTATAGTCATTAAATAATAAAATGGAATGGAACACCTGTGAACCCACAACTCAACGTAAGAACTAGAAGTGGTCCTCTCAATTGTGGTCCCGGAAGAGCAGCATTAGCAACACTTGGGACCTTGTTAAAAATGCATATTCTTAGGCGCCTCACAGCCACACACACACCCCAACTGAATCAAACTCTGAGGGTGGGATCCAGCAATTTAGGTTTTAATGAGCTCTCCAGGTGATTCTGATGCACACCAAAGTTTGAGAACTACTGAGCTAGATTACCAGTGATTTAGATGTGTTCCTTTTTTCCTTGTCTTCCTATTCTCCCACAAGTAATCATTGTCGAAATTTGTACTTTTGCATTCATGTTATCACATATATAGTAAATCTAAGCAACATATTATTTCATTTTGCTTGCATTTAAACATTTTTTAAATGATATCATACTACTTTTACACTTCAACTTGCCTTTTTCCCCCTCAACATTTTGTTGCCAAGATTCATCCATATTTTTGCACATAACTCTGGTTAATTCATTTTGACTGCCTTATAATGATTTTTGAATGGAGACATATCATAAGTTGGCTCTGATTTCTGTGGTGATATGGAAAGTGGACCAAATTTCTACAGGAATTACAATATGTACAACAAATATCTCAGGTATTTAGCTGATGTGCTCTGTGTGATTCAGCAGTTTAAGAAGGGCAAGGGAGGGATAGGTAAAACTTAAAACTGGAGAGTATGTACACCCTGCAGAACTAGGAAACAAATCCGGGCTAAGTGTCAGAGAAGTCAGTTTCTCCAACAGTCCTCCATGCCTGCCCCCCTTTCCTTTGTATGGAATCTATTCTTTAGCATACAAAAATGCTATTTCTTTCCTGTCTTAAAAAGAAATTCTCAACCCCCACTACTGCTCCATTTTTTCCTTCCTTTTATAACAAAACTTTTCGAAACAAATGGCTTAATGCACATTTGAGTGGTTCAAGTTTTTCCTCATGGAAACACTACAGCAGCTAACTTTCTCTTATATATTTCCTTGTAATTATCTGCTAAAGTTTATCTTAGATATATATACCTAGGAGTGATGTTACTCGATCATAAAGGATCTGAATGTTCAATTTTGAAAAATAATTTAAAATAAAAAGTCAAAATACAGATCTTAGTTTATGTAACTATTATGTATGTGATAACTATGGCAATTCTAATCATTTAAAAAAGTGATTTTTAATAGTGTTTTCAATAATTAATTAACAGGGAAATGTGACTACATTATGAAACTAACAGTACATTAAACAGTTAAAATTTAATGTTGGTCTGCTAGCTTGTGAATTCTGGAGAGCATAAACTAGCTTTTTCATCTTTGTGTCCACATAGTGTCTTACATGTATAATAGGTGCTCCATAAAAAAACTTGTTGAATTATTGTTAAATTTACTTCTTTAGGGAAGAGCTTCATAAAATAGATTGGATTTAAAAGTTACTGTTATGCAAGAACTTTGAAGGAAATGGGTTGTATGATACATAATTATCTCTTAGAAGCATTAAGACTGGTGAACTCAAGTGGTGATCTCCACTTGAGTAATAACTGAGAATAATAAGCTACCAGTTATGGAGGATATTTTCATAAGGTTCATTCATTCATTAAAGGACTCAGTGAGCCCCCACTAGAAGGTAGGCATAAAATGATTATAAATCTGCATCATATTCAGCCACATAAAACCCTGCCTACCCTTGGGGAAGCCCCATTTAAAATACAGAAGTGAAAGCTGTCCCTAAAACCTACACCTGGCAACAAACAAATATAATTTGACCCAGGCCAGTGTAGCTTGGTTGGTTAGAGCATCATCCCGTAAACCAAAAGGTCGCAAGTTCGATTCCTGGGCAGGGCATATGCTTGGGTTGTGGGTTTGGTCCCCAGTAGGGCCATGTGCAAGAGGCAACAGATTGATGTTTCTTCCTCACACCCATGTTTCTCTTCCTTTCTCTATCCCTCCCTTCCCTTCTCTAAAAGCAATGAAAAAAATGTCCTTGGATGAGGATAAAAATATATAAATATATATATAATTCAAGACAGAAAAAATGTTAGAAAACATTTATTCCCAAAATTTAATTATTATTATAAGTACTCAATATATGACAAGCCCGGGAAACATGACTAGTAAAAGATTAACTGTGAAAACAAATGCAGTTTTAACAGTTGGATATCAGAGTGGAAGAGAATTGACTTAGATACATATCTTACCTTTTATAATTGCCAGAAGCATCAGACTAAAACAGGAAGTAGGGGTGGGGTGAATAGGTGGAGCACAGATAGTTAGGATAGTGAAACTACTGTCTATAATACTATAATGGTGGACACATAGCATACGTTTGTCAAAACCCATAATATGTACAACAGCAAGTGGGAACCCTAATGTAAACTATGGACTATGGTGATAATGATGTGTCAGTGCAGGTTCATCGATAACAAATGCACCACCCCGGAACTCGATGTTAGTGGAAGGTTGTGCGTGTGTGGGGACAGGGAGCTCTCTGTACTTTCCACTCAGTTTTGCTGTGAACCTAACATTGCCCTAAAATATGAAGTATATTTATTTTTAAAAAAACAGAAATCAGAACATTTATTTCAAAATGAGAAATACACTATTGAAGAAATGTACTTTTTTACTGAGGACAAAATAGAGAGGTGGAAATTTTTTTTGACTGAAACTATTGGTTTAAAGATGTGGAAACATTAAAGAGGTATGGAACAAATATACGAATGTGTGTCCAGAAAGTATCCATCCATGTAATATGAAAAATAGAGACATTTATTGAAGGAAATACAAGATACAAGAAACATGGTACAAAGGACAATGATACCTCAGTCCCCTTCAAAGCTATGAACTTTGTTCATCTTTGAAATATTTGTGCCACTCTTTTATTTGTGCTGTACTTATTCATTGCGTCATCCCAAAAAGCCTTCTGAATCATCCAAATAGTTTCCACAGAGGAATGTTTAAGCTTAATGCAAAATTTAATAAAGATTTGTTGTTCTACTCAGTCATTTTGAATGTGACGGCCATGCAGTGCACATACTCACCCAGAGGCATCTACTACCCCCACTGACTAGTACAATGAAGCCATCATTGTTTACGTATGCCCATTACGGTCCACTCTCCTTGGCTGCCAGTTTACATCAATATCACACAAACTATTCTCATTATATTAACAATGGCTGGAGTTTTCTAGACAGACCTTGTATGTGATAACCAACAAAAACTTACTATTGTCCAAAATATAGTTTTAAAGAAAAAATATGAAAGGTTAATACTTTAAGTAGTTCTATGGCCAACCACATATTTCTATAAGTAATATAAAGAATTATTTACTCATTAAAATATATTTTCTCTGCTTTTTGATTTCCTTGTATGTAAACTATTTCCTTTGACCATTCATGAAGTAGAATCTAAGCATTTAGAATATACTTAGGTGGAGAAAAAAGTAATCTTTACAAAAATCTTCACTATAAAAATTTGAAAATAGCCAAAATGTTACTTACTAAGCACTGTACTAATACAATGAAGTCCCACATAATTGTTAAAATAGCAGGAATATGTGCCATATTGATATATAAAAATGTGTTTTTGAAATATCATTAAGGGTCAAATAAAACAATTTTGTTAGACTTTGGAGACAAAAATGATCACACAATGGCTCAGTTGTGAACTAAAGAAACTATAGTTCTGCTTACTAAAAATAAAAGAAATTATTGAAGGACATATGATGCATCATATTCATTCATTCATTCGTTCAGTCATCAGCTAGCCACCAGACTTCTGCGATAGTCTCCCAACTGACCAATCTCCCTCCATTCTTGCTGTCGTGAAGACCATCTTCCTCAGAGCAGCCTTAGTGACTCATCGAAAACACAAACTGATGTTCCTTGCTACTTCAAATTCCTCCTTTGATTTTTATTTGACTTTTTGATTCTCCTGTAGTTGCCTACAAAATAAAGTTCAAATTCCCTTTGTATGGCATATAACCCACTACAATTTAGCTCTTGCCTGCCTTATGGCTTAGTCTTCTTTCAAATTTTATGTTCCAGTAATTTTCAACTGCTTCATGTTCCTTTAGGTGTATGCCATGTTGTTTCATGATTCTGTGATATTGCTCATGCTCTTCCCTTTTCCTGACACATGCTTGCCACCTTCATCTATTTTGCACCTATTCATCCTTCAAGACAATTCATTAATCATCCTCCAAGCTGATTTGGAGGCTTCTTCTTGGGTTCTGTAGCATCCTATGCATGCTCTATTTCAGTGGCTACCAAATCATATTGAAGTTATCTGTTTAGAAGTCTGCCTTCCCCATTAAACCGTAAGTTTCTTTAGAGAAGAAACCACATTTAGTCATCTTGGTAGCCAGCCTGCATGTAGTTCAGTGCCTGGAACATAGCAGGTACTTACTATATATAGTGAGTACTTAATAAATTATCTTCAGGCACTGCAGTAAAAACTAGTGAACTTCAAATATTCCATTTTCTACCATCCAGGAGCTCACAGACCATCATCCAAAAGAGAACATGAAAAATGACAGGCATGAAAGCACTGTGAATACTCAAACAAGTCACACTGAGTCAGAGCCTGCTGTCTTTTTAGACAAATTTAGCTAGAAATTGCTCACCACCAGCCATGCTCATCTTTGAGAATGAAGGACTATGGAATTTTCCTCTGTTAAAAACACTTCTGAGAAATAAACTATTTAAAAACAAGTAGTCAGGAGGAAGAGAGAAGAGGTCAACAGTGATTTACAAACTAATCCACCCCTCTAGCCCCCACACCCTCCCTTTGAGAGTTTTCATGTGTCCTCTTCAACATGATTGAAAAAATCTTTCCAAGTTTGTGTTCTCTAGAATCTAAAATATGATAGGTTTTATTTTGTAAATAATGGGAGTGGTGGCAGAATCACTTCCTTCCTATTACTATTCTCAACCCTGTTTTATAATGTAAGCACATTAACAAATTTATTTTGTGTTATTAAGCAGACATAGTGTTAGGATGTGAGATAAGATTATCTCATTCAACCTTCATAACAAGCCCATGAAGTAAGTACTATTATTAACTCCATTTTATAGGGGAGGAAACTGAAACTTGAAGAGGTCAAGTAACTTGCCCGAGATCTTGTCTCCAGTCAGCATTAGAAGCAGCATTGAACCCTAGCCATCTGACTCCAGGGCTCTCAGTTCTGATGAATGCATCACACCGCCTGACCAGTAAATGGTAAAATGCAATAAACACTAATTACAATTGGTCCATCATAAATTGCTCTTGACTTCAGGTAAATGGCAATTTATAAGATTGAATGAACCCTGGCTAGTGCGGCTCAGTGGATTGAGTGCCAACCTGTGAAAGTTCACGGGTTCAATTCCTAGTCAGGGCAAATGCCTGGATTGTGGGCCAGATCAGCAGTTGGGGACGTTTGAGGGGCAATGATGGATGTGTTTCTCCCTCTTTTTCTCCCTTCCTTCCCCTCTCTCTAAACATAAATAAATAAATAAAACTTTAAAAGACTGAATGAATCAAGTTGTTAGTTTTGTTGTTTTTTTAAATGACAGATACTTTGGGATGTGTAGTGTTATTAGTTACTCTCCTAAGCCTTGTATTAGTATAGTATTTTAAACTTTAAGGATGTGGAGAAAACATCAACATATCTGTCTCTCCTTTGCAATAAAATAATTTCTTTTTATTAAAATATTTTACTATAGTTTTTTTTCTACTTGACAGTTTTAATTAGTATGTAACTTTTCCCAGCAAAAACAACCTTCATGGTGAAAGAAATCCTCAAAAATGTAACCTAAAGACTGAAGTGTTTGTTTGTTTGTTTTTAAACTTTACTTTTCTCCTTTTAGACTCCAGAAAGTTTCCTCATAAAGCTGACTTCCGTTCTGGAAATGATTTTTGTTTCCAACCATGTTGAGAATTCATTTCTTTCATCCCTTCTCTCTCTCTCTCTCTCTCTCTCCCCCTCTCTCTCTCTCTCCTTTTGCTTCCTTGGTAGTAGCAGGGAGGAGGAGGGAGTGGACACAGGAAAGAGGGGAACAGAGAAAAAAGAAAAAAAATCTCATGCCACGGTGTCTGAATATATCCTCTGCTTGTAGATATTTCCATCTGAGTTGCACTTTTGCCTTTTTATTTCCGTTTTTGGACACCTCTTTTATCATGCAGCCAACTGGAATAGACAAAGCACAGTTGGTGCCCTGAGCGACAGAACTCTGGTAGGGGGCTGGCTGTAAATTGACGTGGCATGGAAATTCTCCACGAAGTTGTAGCAGCTTGCATGTTTCTCCTAAGATCAAGCCCAGCCTCCCGGAGCTGTAGCTTAGTCATGATGGGCTCAACGACTGTTCAGAAAAATGGATAGAAAAAGTCTTCAGCTCCTTTCTTTGGACTCAGATGTTTTCTTTTTGAGTATCTATGGTGTAGCTGAAAAAATCAAAGCAGTTAAGTCTATAACTTTCTTTTTGCAGCTTGAACAACAGAATTTGCTGCTCTCCCTCCCCTGTCCTGCAATTTAATTCCTTACAGATTTTGCCATGGGGTGCGGACTTAGAAAGCTAGAAGACCCTGATGATAGCAGCCCTGGAAAAATATTTTCTACCCTGAAGAGACCACAAGTGGAAACAAAGACAGAATTTGCTTACGAATATGTATTGCTGGATTTTACTTTACAAGGTACTTTTTTCTTCTGTTTTATTTGTTAAATGAAATGTTTCAGAGATAAGGGACTACTCGTTTTTTAAGTGTTGGTTTGTGAATTTGTAGTGTTCTTCATAATAAGACTGTATAAGCGACCTAAAAATAATACTTTGTCTCTTAATAATATACTGAAAGATTTTGTTTTGTTTGCTTCATTTTTTTAGCATGGCTCATATGTTCTTTATAAAATTAGAAAAATGGCTTGGAAATATTTCTTTCATTTTTAAATCAAATGCCTATTCGTGGGAGGGTACATGAAAAATGTTTGATTTCCAGGCCAAATAGCCATAGCCTTAATGACAGTTTGTGTTTTGAAAAAGATCTGCAAGGCACAAGAAGGTAGCGTTCAGGAAACACTACTTGCATCGTGTGGAAGAGTATTTGCTAAGCCAGTTCTAAGGTTTCCAAGTATGTTAAATTTTGTGATTGTGCTAGTTATTTGCTATTTTTACCAAACTAAACTTGAAGTCTGAACATACAGTAAAGAAAAAAAGAAAGAAAGAAAGTCTTCTGTAAGACACTTCCTTTGCTTGGTGCTCTGTCCCTAACAGAGAAACTCCCTGTTCCAGAAAGTTGGAAACACAAATAAACAAGCCCAGATGGCAGCCCTGTGGAAGGAAGAGATGTAGCTTAACTTCACAAATATTTTGCCTCACTTTTTTTTGGGAACTTCAGAGTACCATATAACTGCATAGCAAAAACTGAGTTTTTAAAAAGCAGAACTGTATCTTTAATAATGGGGTACTAAAAATGGAATTTGGACTGTCGTGCTTGCTGTTAGAATTTCCAGCTATCCATAGTTTAAGTTCTTATTACAAAGTTATGCTTTTATTCGTAAAAAGCCACAGATTTTATCAATGAATAGAAAGTTTATACTAAGCATATTATCATGTTGGATATGATCTTAATCTCTTTTCAACTTAAACACAAATTCTCCATTTTTTGCTTTGCTCTGTGAACAGTGCATCTTTGTGCAAGAAGCAGGAGCAGCCCATTTTTCTTTGTCAAAAATTGAGCTAGCCAGCGAGCAAACTCCCTTCCAGGGACATGCACAAGGTCTGCACATGTGTATACTTTTAACACATTCGCATTTCCATTTTTATCTAAGACTAAGGCTATCAAAGGAAATAAAGCTTGTATTCTTAATTTTCTTTTTAATTATAAAAGTTAAAAGTCAATTAAAATAATGGTGATCAAAGAAGTAATCAATCATATGACTTTTTTCCATACTTTTTCAAAAACCATTATTTGAGAAAATTTCTGTGATGTAGCTCTATGTTTTCTCCATTGATTGTCCTTGTTGATTATTTTGTTAGGACTAGTTTCTATAAGTCCATAGGACTCAAACACACATTCTCCTTAAGCTCAGAACCTTGTCTATTCATAAACTTTAGGCCAGAGCCATTTTGATCTGCACTTGAAGATTTGCTACACAATCCCTCATAGGATCATAGGGCTTAAAGTAATTTGAAATTTTTTTCTGATTCACTTTCTCCCAACAATATTAAAAATCTCAAGTAAATGTGTATAAATGCAGTCATCCTTAACTCAGAAAGATCAACAGCATTTTTAGAAGTCATTTTGGTTTTGTCATTATCAGAAGTCCTTCTCTCTGTGAAAGGAATATTTCTACCTTCCACGCTAGATGTTTGGAGGAGGTAACAGATTATTACACTATAAAGTCTAAGTACGGACATAGTGTGCAAATGTTAACCCACAAAGCAGGCATATATTTTAAGGTTGCACCTGGTTCCTATTTGGTCCAGGCGCCTCGTCTCCTAATGTCCCTTTTCTCTCCAGTTATTCCACATGTTTTTGTTTTGTTTTGTCTTTGCCTCAGAAGCCAAGACTCTGCATCAGCCCAACTCCACAACCACCTTCCTCTCCCATCCCTGACCCCACCTGCCACTCCAGCGTATGGAGGAGTGAATCAAGGGGAGGTGAACCATGCCAGCCTTGCAATTAGCACTGGCAATCTGTCCTGGGCTTCCTGTAATGGGTACTGCATCGTGGCACCTCCTGCCTCTCAGAGGCCACTGTGCAATGAGCAATGTCTCAGGAAACAAAATGGTCTGGTGACAGCTGTGTGTGCTCATGATGAGCCTGTCTCTTACTTTGTCTTCCTCTGTTTTTCCAAACACAGGACACGAGACAGAGAGTAAAGTCCCAATGGGGCAAGAGGAGGAGACTCTGAAATTTCCAGTGCCCTATTATGGGAGCTATAATTATCTTAAACAACTTATTTACTTTCCATTCAGTTATATTCTTTCTCTCTCCCTCTCTCTCTGTCTGCCTTCTCCCACACTTGTGCCTGTTTTTGTTTTTGTTTTGTTTTTTGAGGGGAGGCCTACTTTCAGCCATTATTTACATCTCTATGGGAGAAATAATAGCAAAGTCATTAAGCACATAAGGCTCTGAAGTCAAAGATCCCAGGTTCTGAATCTAGGCTCTTTCACTCCCTAGTTGTGGCAAGTTTGTAAACTTTGCTGTATCTCAGTCTGCAGAATGGGCGTTCTTATGATGCTTACATAATAGAGTTATTCTAAGGATTCAAGGAGATAATATAAGATGATCTATTTGAAAAGGTACCTAGCACTTTAGCAAGCACTTAATAAAAAGTTAACTATTATTATACCTCCTAGCTTTATGCCAGGTCTACCAACTGTACTAGTGAAATTTCAGTACATTATTTGTAACAAATTTCTGGGGTTGAGTATAATAATCTATATATGTATACTTATCAGAGAGTGTGAGTGTAGATATGTTAAATATAATTTATTAATGAAAAGTTCAATTAACTCTGCAAATTATGCAAAATGGTTAGTTATACCTCCCTGTACAACACCAGAAAACAATCTAAACAATAATAGCCTTAAGGATTTTTAGAGCATGCATAGCTTTATGATTAAAAAGAGTTTCTACAATACTAAAAACCCAACAAGAAAACCCAAGAAAAGACAGATGGCAGGTTCTTTATTTGAATTTCTAGTAGAATTTTGTAAAATACATCAAGTGAATTTTTGCTAGCTTCTAGGTTGCTTCCTTATTAGTAGTACAAGAACTTCTCATAGTCCTTTATCACCACCGTTAACAGCAATAAGTACATATGACATATGCATTCTGTGGAAGATACCAATAAGTACTGGAAGTACAAAGAAGAATAAGACACAATTTTAGCCCTCAAGTATTTTATATTCTAATTGGTCAAACTAAGCAAGATGGTGAACTCCTCAACGTCAGGAACTATATCCTAATCACCTTTGTATCCCTGTGCCTCGCACAGTGTTTGACATATGACCAATAGCCAATAAGTTGTGTTAAATTAATGAATGAAAAGGTGCAATACATGACACAAGAAGTATCAGGAAAAGTCTATTTTAAATATGATCAGTTAGAACTCAAATTAGGACTTTAATTGACCCTTAAGAAAAAGTAGGGCTTAGAATCCGAAAAAGACTAAGAGGTTGAGGCACATTGAAGGGCTATTGAAGAGAGCAGTGAGCTAAGCAAGGTTTTGCAGGAGAGAAGCAGAAAATAAGGTTGGAAATAAATGGAGTGTGGAATGCTCTGACTTGTTGGAGGAGTGACTTCTTGATGCTATCGAGAATAAATAGCTGTGAAGGCTTTCAAACAAGTAGTTGAGAGAGAAAAGTGTTTTTAGAAGATTCACATGAGATTTCAATGGGGAGAGAAGGGAGGGAGGAGAAACGTTAGAAGACTGATTGCAGTGGTGAAGACTAACCAAGGAAGACGTGCAGTGATGGGCCCAGTAAGGATGGAGCGCAAGGGGTAAATATACCAGACAATATGAGGGAGGAACTTAGCCTGTGGCTGGCTGGATATGAAGGGACAGATAGAATGAGGAACCCGGGATGACTTCCTGGTTCTGAGCTTGAGTGGAAATAATGATGCCTCTTACAGTAGGAGGGGTGTCCCCAAAGAGCCCCCACATGGTAGAAGAACAATTCCATTACAGGCATGGAGCATTTGAGGTGGTCAGGGAAAGACCTGGTAGAAACAGTTACTGGTGCAAGGCTGCAAATGATTTCTATGAGGAACTGAAGTAAAGTCTTAAAAAGAGGGTATACGGGCAGAGCACAAGTGTCTTAGGCTGAGTCATCAGGCACATTTAGCCATATTGAGCAGAATTCAACAGAATGGCAGAGAATGAATGGATAGCACCAACGAACACAAAGAAAGGGAGGGTCTCCTAAACAACAAGTGGTCAGTAATTTCAAATACTAAGGAACTTTCAAGAAGAATGAAGATGCAACACTGAAGAAAATGCATTAAAAAACAAGTGATAAATAAAGGATCAGAAATGAGGAAGGGAGGGAGGGAGGAAGGAATAATGGAAGAATGAAAGGAAGTAAGGGTCCAGCTAAATATTCTATTTCTGTCAGAATTTAGTAAGTTCTTGGGCATTTCCTCAAGCAGTAAAAAGATTTTCAAACGTACAGTACTACATAAAACAAATTAAAAATTAAAATGACTAAATTTACTCAAGCAGCCACATAATCTCTATCGTGGTGCCTAGCCTAAATTCCTATCAGATGAAAAAACTATATAAACAGTTTCTTTTTTTTTTTTTTTGAAATGGTGAGATATTTTGGTTTATTGAAAAATATAATCTTCACAAATTATCAGACTATTATGGAAGAGAAAGATCCCATTTTAAACTGAGGGAGGAGAACAACTCTGATAATAGCATATAGCGGAGCCACTTAAATAAATATTGATGTTGGGAGAAAATGCATATACATTTCATCAGCAATCTACATTACATTGGTTTTATTCCCTGTGCATATATGCTTCTTATATCTGGTTGGACATATATTCGTTGTTCGCAGTCACACTTAGTGAGCATGTACAGAGCTAAGAGCTAGGCTATGAAGATAAATAGAGCCTAGTCCCTGTGCTCCATGAACTTGCATCCTGAGCATCCTACTGAGAGACACCAATTAATGAGCCTTCAG